CTCCGGCGGAGCATACCGGGGCCAACGCTGCCGTCACGGCTGTTTGGGGCAGCGGAAGATGTCCTGCGGCGGGTGAACCTGGCCGTGGCTCGGTTCGACAGACGCCGGATGATGTTGTTGCTTTTGCTGACGGCCTCTGACATGGCACTGGGGCTGCCCACCAAGGTCTGTCCGAGCGAGTTGTCACTCGTCTTCCTTGAGATGACGGACTCGGGCAGAGACCATGAGCCGGCCGAGAACTGGTCGTCCACAAGCTCACGGCCCCGGTGCTCAGGGGAAGCCTGGAGCGAGCTGTTGCTCGTCATGACGGCATTCTCTGGGGACATGACGGGCGAGCCCTGCTGCGAGCTGGAGGCCACGGAGGAGGCGCTTATTGCTGAAGCTGGTACTGTGAATTGTTGTTGCTGCTGCTGTAGGTGTTGTAGGTGAATGTTGGAGGGGATGTTTGTCTGTACATGGCTTGGACGTGTGCGCCTAAACTGAGTAGACTGAGGAGGCATGGTGGGAGGTTTGGAAAGGGGTAGAGGTGAGGGCAACTGAGTTGAAGTAGAAGTGGGAGACATGGTGAAAGTTCGTGGGGGTAGCCCTTCGCTACACGCGGGTTTGGAGAGGTCCCCGCGGCGAGATCCTAGGTGGATGATCTGGCGTTTTTATGAAGAAGTAGTAGCTGCTTGAGACGGCATCCTTGGAGAGTGTGGTCGTGTGAAACGGCCCGTAGAGGGATAGAGAATGCGGGGGATGCGTGGGAGGCGGTCGATCCTGCGATATGAAGGTGGGCGTTCCACACACACGGGGCTGTCTGGCAGGCGGGCAAGGGTTCGGGTCCAGGAAGGAAGCAGCAGGCCGTGGGGAGAGGGTGATGATCTCTTTGCTGCAGAGTCGTGTAGGTCGCCGCGCGGTGCGATGCGATGCGGCGCACCAGAGGTCCTGACAGACCACACGGGTGGAAAACTTATGGGCGCCGGTGGTTCGTACTGGTACACTGCAGGCGGACCAGCAAAGTGAATCAGGCGTAGGCGTAGAAGAGGTAGGCGTGGCAGGGCGGACGAGAGTAGGGTCGGACTGGGCCAATCGTGATGGCAGGTGTCCGTCGATTCGTCTTTTGGGAGTTCCAGCCTCTGGGTTTGGGGGCTGCTCGACAAAATGTGCGGGCCTGCGCAGTTGCTGCGATGGGCTCTCCAAGGCGAGGTGTGTGATGTGGCAGGTGTTGTATGCAAGTGACTGATTTGGGTCTATTTCCAGGTTGGGGTCGACGGGACCGACAGCATTGGCAAGCCGCTATGCAATGATCCCGCAGCGGATGCTCGTTCGTTTTTTTCGTGTCTTTCTTGACACCTTGCGTTCGCTTCTGGCAACTGGTTGCAGTCCTAGGTCGCGCAGGCTCGTGTCCGGCAAGAAGAATCCAACGTTGAATCGGGCGGGAGGTGGTTCGGCGCAACAAGAGAAAGTCTTGGGTGGTGGTGGTTCCTCGGAAGGGTGCGCACGGCGCAACAGTTGCAGATGAGTCAATGGGCAGATCCCTCGGGTCGAGTGCCGGGCGCGCAACTATTGAACACAATGAGTTGTCTGTTATTTGTTTTTGGCAGGTTGACTTGTTTGGCGAGTGGTGCGGGTGATTGTGTGCGTGTGGTGAAGAAGAAGAAGGGTTGTGGTCTGTTGTTATGTAGTTGAGCAAAGCAGCAAAGGAGCGTTGCAGGTCAGACGTCGTTGGCAGTGGTGGTGGTGGTGGTGGTGACTGCGGGTGATGGTGGGTGTAGTAGTAGCAGCAGGAGCAGCGCGGTGCGGTGCGGTGCGGTGCGTGTGAGACTGACTGGGCTGGTAGAGGGTCAGGTCAAGACGGAAGGTGTGGTGGTGGTGGTGGCCAGTCAAGTCTTATGTGGGCGGGAGTGGTAGTTGGGGCCCGGGAAATTATGAGTAGACGGAGCGGGAAGGAGGCATAGCCAAGAGCTTTATTTTGGAGTAAGGGCAAAGGACCAGCACAAATAATGTCAGGGTCAGGAGAGAGAGAGAGGGTGAGGGTGGAAACGAAGGGAAACGAGCAAAAGAGTACGGGAGGACGGGGGGGGGGGGGTCAAGAGGTGTGTGTACGAAGTGGAAGTACCTACCAAAGTATCTCCTCGAGGTGTACGGATACGCAAGAAGGTAAGGCCTGATCAGGTAGACAGACAGGCGTGTGTGGACTTGCAGACAGTGGTGCTGGGCAAGGTTGAGCAGGGTAGCAAGTAGAGACAGTCAGAGAGAGAGACGAGAAAAGCCCCCCAGTGAAGGAAGGTAGAGACACCGAGGGGAGTATGGCGTAGAGTGACTTGACAGGGCTCCTTCAGAGAGCGAGCGACCGAGAGTGGGAGAGAGGGAGGAAAGTGTGGGAGACAGAGACTAGGAGAAGACTCAGTAACCTCAGAGAGACAGAGACAGAACAGGTACACACCTCTCTGGGCCAAAGAAGAGAGTGCGTGTGTGTGTGTGTGTGTGTGTTTGCAGGGAAGGCGTGAAAGTAAAACGGGAGCGAAGATGGGCTGCCCAGATGGATGGGTAGAAATAAAGTAGCCTACATGGGCATGATCAAGTATCTCCCCATACTTGATAATATGGCGAGATACATGGGTACAACGCACACGCCGGGCGGGAGGCAGAGGAGCGTGGATGGGCGCAGGAGTGTGGGCGCAGGGGCGTGTTGTACCTAATGGTGTAAGGCGAAAGAAGCCGGGGGGAGAGCCTGGGAGGGGAGAGGTAGGTACCTACAGAAATGGCCCATGGACAAGACAGACAGCAATGGTCAACCGTGAAGGGTCAAAGGTTTGTGGGTAATGAGGAGGACCGGACGAGGAATGCGAAAGAAGGATACGCGCACACGCGGGCCAAGTCCAAAGTGCAAGTTATGGTCAGGCATCTTGGCTGGCAAGACACGGTATTTCTCAAGGCGTCTATTCCCTCTCTACAATTTCATTCCCCCTACTCTGTCCATACATTAGAACCTAAGCTACCTTCCCAGGCCTGTCTCTGTCAGGTCACTATATTGTGATGGAAGCGAAAGAGACAGACACAGACAGACAGCAAGAGAAAGAAAAAAAAATAATCGTAAAAAGCGGAACACGAAAGGGCAAGAAAAGGCAAAGGCAAAATAGAGAGAAGGGAAATGGGAGGGCGAACGCTACGGACGGGGGCGTGAATTGGGAGACGGCGCTAAGCTCTTCGAAGCATCTCAGTGGAAGCTATCCACAGAGATACGTATCTTTTCTGATCTCGAGGTGAGGTGCTGGTGCGGTACGTATCCCCAGGGTCAGTCCCACCATGTCCCGTCACTTTCGTCCATCCGTCACCGTGGAGTACCTAGAGGACTGGTCTTTGCAGTGTCTAGCAGTGTCTCTCCTTTCTTCCGTGGCATCTCTCGTCATGTGTTTGTTGTGTCTTCTCCGAACTGATTCCCCCTTCTGTTTTCCATTCTTCTCCTGAAATTGGACTCTCGAGAAAGCGGAGACACGAGGCTGGCCCGATGGCGAGACTGGACTGGCTGGGCTGCAATTGAGGGGCGGCCACGGAAGGGGGGGGAAATGGGAGAGTACGCAGTAGAGAGAGAGAGAGAGAAAAAAGTCACAGTCACGTAACCGTAGCGCACAGGGCCGAGATGGAGACGCTGGGCGTCACTTTGCAATCGCAGTTTGGATGGGACATCAAAAATGGGACATGAACGTCTCCTCCCCCAGTGGGGTACGTACCTGAGCTAGCTGGCGCCCCGGCCCTGGGACGACGTAAGGTATCCTCGTACCTTGGGACCTTGGGTGCTTGAGTACCTGACCAAGTACCTGGGGGAAGATGGAAGAGAAGAATCCAATCCCGACAGGGGGCAGCAGACTGGCAGGGAAAAGGCACGAAATTGAACAGAAGGGCTGCACCGCTGCAGGGCAGAAAGCCCGACAACCAGTGACACAGCCCGCAGAGGTCCGTAAGAAATATATACCTACGCAGTGCTCCGTACTTATTACTGTGGATGTAGTGCAGCAAAAGGGCTCATGCGCAGAAGATGGGGAACTGGGCAGAATTCAGAAAAAAGGGAGTCTTTCGGGGATTAGCGTTCATAGGGGAGAGAGAGTAACAGGCCGAAAGACAGCAAGAGAAAGGGTGTGTCGTCATACAATACAGAAGCAAAAAACGGGGTGTGTCGTTAACATGACGAACAAATCATGGACGGACGGGGCCCTGGAGAAAAAAAGACTGAGAGTGAAGGCGAAAAAGACAGGAGAGGGCAAGCAGGGAGACGCCGAAAGAGACGGGGGCCACCGGTCCTCCCACCAGCCCAAAAATACAGAAAACCCACGAAGACAGGACAAAAAAAAACACATCAAAAAGAAGGGGCAACGCAACGGCAGAAAAATAAAATAAAAATAAAAATGAAAACCTTCAGGAACATGGAGGACAAGACAGGGCCCACGACAGCCAGGGCAGACAGGGGACATGGCATTCTCTGCAAGTACGTACCTTTGCAATTCCCATGCTGCGTGCTGCGTATTCTCCCCCTTCCCGGGCTCCGTCATGTCATGGGCAGGCCACAAGCCGCAAAGCCGCAAGCCCGCACCCGCACCATGGGCTTCCGGGGAAACCCAAGGGAGGCCTGATGTAGAAGGAAAAAGAACAATTCCAATACCAGGAACCGCTGTTGCTCCGGCTCATGCTGGCTCTTCTCTGCTTGCTTGCTGCGCTGCTCTCTTCCCTCCTGAGGATACGCAGTATGGTAGGTAGGGATCAAGGTACCTCCAGGCGACGACAACCTCCAAGGTACCGTACCGGCCGGATACAACGCCATGTGCACCGCTCTCGTCCAGAACAGGGGTCCCGCTGGCATGGAAAAGGAGGGAGGGTGTGCGAGATGGATGACTCCTCTCTGTCTCTGTCGCTGTTGCTGTCTCTCCCACACGCAGTTGGAATGTCTTGTGCGTCGCCCGAGACCACCGTCCGGGGACAAGTCAGAAGCAACTGCCCACGCCAAACCCCAACGCCAGCACTCAACACACGCGCCAGACCGGGCCCATGTCCCTCATCCCCCAGGGCCCAAAGTCCTCAAGTGGCTCTCTCTCTCTCTCTCTCTGTCTCGCCTGTGGCACAGTCGTCCGCTGCGTATCTCGCCATGTTTCCACCTCATTTGCCCCCTCAGGGGCTGCGTGCGTATTGTTTCCGATGTCTCGTCCTTTTATTTTCTTGTATTGCCTCGCCCGTTGGATCATCAATGGCACCCCGTTTGACGAAACAATCTCCTCGTCCCGTCTTTGGTAATCTTGAATTCTTCCTCCCGGGCAGCAGGATTTTAGCACACACCCACGCGCCACAGGCAAGAATAACCTCGATGGCTGCCTTGTCTTGTACTCCCGGGTCCATACTGCAGGATGAAGTATGGCATGGCAGCATTCCCGCCTTACGTTGGCCTTGTCGGATCCTGCCAGCTCTGCCCTGTCTTGTGCAACCACCAACATGACTGCGGCTGCTGCTGCGGTGTATATCCATGTCGAGGCCAGCGTTGGCGGCGCCATGCTATCGCACTTTCAACTTGACATGCAAAAGATGACGGCAGCCAACGATGCACTCATCCGGGTCCTGCGAGACTCGAAACTTGCGCCTTCCTTACCAACAAAAGGCTGTCGTCTTCCGTGCGGCGTGCGGTGGTCTCGGCGGACGACGCGGTATACCTCGGCGCCTGGCTCGCTGTGAAATGAGCAAGGTGGGATCAAGTACCACCAAAGCTATATACTGTTGAGGCGACAAGTACCTGCGTCCGCCGTCGCGCGTTGGAAAAAGCCCGGTCTGGGGAGATGAAAGCGAATGCTCGGGCATCTCAACAAGGCTCAAGGGACCACAGAGTCGGGTAAAAGGGCCAACGTGCCGAGTTGGTCAGATACATTCGCGATGCAGTGCCATAACGCATCTGTACAGAAATAGGTACCGTCAGTACGCAGGCAATCGAGGGCAGCGATGATGCCTTGCTCGACGGCCAGAGCTTGCCGTCCAAGAAACCAGTCGACGACAGCATCAACAGGTACCGTCGGTGACGAAAGGGCCTGTGAGGTCAGTCTGACATGATGATCCCATGTTTGTCGTCTGCTAAAACTAGGTGCCGAGGAACCGTAATTGGTGTCTTGTTTCCCCCAGACTCTATTACGTCGACGCCCTTTCTGCACGCGCCATGGCATGCCGCAATGTCGCTTTGATGCGTTGTGCTCTGTAGAGCCCAGTGCTCGCCATTGCTTGCCCGTACCGCCCTATCTCGACCGCCGTTGCATCGCGCCCTGGGCTTCGGTGACGATGCGTTAATGCGATACGTGTCACCCAATTTCCCAGTCTTTCTTGCTGGCTCGTCACCCATTCAGGAAGTGTGTTTCTCGTCTGATTTTGGCATCTGCTCTCGCGTGCCGAATCTCCGCCCTTCTGCCGTGGTCCTCATCCTCGTCGTCCCAGCGTCTCTGCCTTTTGTCATGTCCAGCTGACCTCAACCTTTCTCCAGCTGTTACAAAAGTCAAAATGTACGCAACTTTGCCCTTTGATTCGACCATCAAGGGATTTGCTCATTTCGACACAGGATCGGCGGTTGATTGTTGCTCATCAACAGTCCAAGAACCTGGTAGACCCGGTTGCATTCCAACGTTGGACGTCGCCGATGGCTCAATGTTGATCTTGCTTGTTGCTGCTCGCAGCCTGTTCTCTTCAGACGCAGCGAGCGGTCATCGCTGGCTTCCTGCGAGCAGTGCACGCATTCCGCACCGGAGATATTCAGCTGGCCTGCACCACCCGCACTTGGACGGCGTGGTCAGCCGGTCGTCGCATGCGGGCGTGGGGGCGTGAGTGACATCTTGCGTACCCAAGGCATACTGAGCTGTCGTTATCGAAGCCGACATCGAGGTACCTCGTCCGCAGCGTTGATAACGCTCTTCTTCTCGTGACTGGCCATCTTCTCCATCCTTGAACCATTCCATCGCGATCCTGAGATACTTCGTACGCAACCCCGAGAGCCGTTGGGCAAGGATGTTCCTCCGAAAGCGCCGCAACCAGTCGAGGTGACTCCCTGATGCTCAGCGGTGACCCACGCCTCCCATCTCTCGGTGTACCGGGAATGCCTCATTACCTCAGCACGCATTCGCTCTTCTCCACCACATTGTTCCTGTCCGGATCAAACGTCTGGGTGTAACGCTTCCAAGGTGAGCACTGGAAAGCAAAGAGGTTGCCTACAATGGTCTTCCAGCAGGGTACACCCTTCGGGGCTTGCTCCGGACTGACGCTGCCTTCCCCGTAGTGCTTTGGGGCCCTCAACCCCATAGGATGGAAGCGTCGGGACTGAAGTCGCGGGAAAGACGGAAGAGACTCCTGCAGACTAGTTTTCTTGTCGCTCAAGGAGTTTTCGTCGTCTCAGTGTCCCAGAGGGCAATTGCTATAGTCTCGACGTTCGCCTCTACAGCTCTGAATTTGCAGCCAACGGAGGACACCCGAGACCTTGAGACGACCAAGCAGAACTCTAATTGTCCACTTGTGTTGCATCCTGTGGCGGTAGCGTGTGGCTGGTCATCGCAGACCGTGGGCACACGGCCTAAGACGCACCATCAAGAAATGAATAAGGGCCTTGATCATCTGAGAGTCCGAGTGGCTATTGAGACGTTTGATTGGTGTCCCTTTTGCCTTCAAACCAAGCTCGTCCTCGACTCCCTCGACCAAAGATAGAAACGATTGCTTGACGTAGACCCTGACTTGCCCCGTTGCGAGACGGTGAGACCTGATCAACAGAGCCGCTCCAGGGGTGCCATCTTGTGTGGTTGTTTGGGTGTGGCTTCCGGGGCCGCCTGTATGGGATCCCACCGATCAACATGGACGTTACGGGAATTTAGACAGGAGATCGCTGTCCACTGGCGCTGGTGGGTAGCGGTCGCAGGGTTGGGCTGTTTTTGCTTCATCCTCCCCCATCAGCTCCCATTCCTCTTGTGAGTCACGACCGTTTCTGTCTATTCTATCCGTACTGTTTGGGAGGTTGAAAGAAGAGAGTATTTCTTGATGCGTCGACGGCCTTTGATGTTCAACCGACCCCATGGTTGTTGATGCTGCGAGAACAGGGGTAGTTTTAGTTGCAGCTCCTCAATCCGCCCTGTTGGGACTGCTCTGACTGTCGGGCACTCTCTCTATCTTGGCTTCATTTGAAAGTGATCCGTCACTATGGTTAGCAGTCGCCCGGCCGCTGTGTGATCTGGGTGTACTGGACCGCGGCGCAATGCGTACGGAAACTTGCCAGCAAACCGGCTGAGCCCCGTGGTCCAAATACAGACGAGAGGATGCGTGCGGGAAAGACCCCAAATTTTCCTGGCTTTGCTGTGTCTACATTGCCATCCCAACCCTCATCCTTGGCGAATATTCATCATGAGTGACGTGGCGTCCAAGGTAGATTCAACGGCTGGCTGACATGAAGTCAAAGTCGTTCAACGTCGGGACGTTATCACGCAATCAGTCATTCGTCAAGACATCTACCGATGCGGCGGCTTGAGTTGGACAGTAATTCACTGCCACATCAAGGCTGCGCAATTCCTCCGTCACGGTCACTCGTTCTCGGTCAGATGCAGCCGGAACCGTGAGGGGAGACGTGCGGCTTGGTACAGCACGTCGTCAGCGATATTGCGATTTGCTCGAGTGTGTTGCAGCATAAGAGCCGAACTGCAATCTTGGTAGGGAACCGTGGTTGCGCAGGAATGCGAGTTGTGGGGTAGGTAGCATCGCACAGGGAACCCGGGCAAGGGAGGTTCGTTCTGACTCTGCTCTACTCACAGTGCTCAAACGTTGGTAATGAGAAAGCAACGGCAGAGATTTCTCTGTCGTTCATTCTGAGGGCCTCGTGTGGTGCTGCCGCTATCAACGATCTTGGTGCGGAAGCCACTGTCGAAGGGGGTTCGATGACTAGATCAGGGCAAGCCACACACTCTTGGTGACGGACCGCCACCATCAAGGATGATCAGCACGCGCTGCTTGACAGTCCGGCTGGCCGCGGAGGCGGCGCCGAAGCCATTGGGGCCAAAGACAAAAAAAGTTGGCGAGCTTAGTATCCGCAGAAATCGTCATACTGCGTTTGCGTATCCGGCCTGCGACTATTGTCTCGTTTGCCTCAGCACGACCTTGGCTGGATAACAATATCAGCTCCCTCTCTGCACCGAAGGCGGCTGTTCGGATCTCAAGCGAGAGCTGGGCAAGCAGTTGGCAATTGTGCTAATTTTGAGGAGCTCTGGGCGTGTCTCTGATGGCATTCTTCGAATCAAAACTTGTCCAGCGCAGCAGAAGGAGGGGGGTGTGGCTATCCGAGCCGGTGCTCCTATTTCAACGGGTAAAGATGTGGTTGAAGGACCATTGCGAATGGTGCAAGTACCCGTCCAGTACAGTACTTTGCGCTGCCTCAAACATTGAAGCCCGCTTTGCCCAGCGAAACCATTCCGCATCAGAATGGCTTGAATGGCCAAACTGAGGTCGAGGTGGGAAAACACAGGCGCGGTGGAGATGAGACTTGACAGGTCCCGTCAGATGGCTGACTGTATGTCGTTTTGTCTTTGCCCGTACCTCTTCTAAATTTGCATCGTGTTGCTGATGCGAGGGGTGGTTAGTGGCTGGTCGACCCCCCTCCACACCCAACTCCGCAAACCTGACCTTGTGAGTAGCACCGTCGAGATGAGACTTGAGGGGAACGTCCTTCCGTGGGCACCACCAATAACGCAACGGAGCTGCAGCATCGCATCTGGGGACTACCATATGCAGCCTTGCCCGCGGCCCCCTGCTCACCACGCAACTCCGCATCATCGGCGCCGGATGGGCGTCACCTGAGCAGAGGGGATTGGCCAGCTGGCGCTCGATGACTCCTGCGAGGGCGGGTACACACATCTCGCAGCAAATCTGCTGTTTCTGATCCGCTGCTGGATTCTGTTGCGTTGCTGGCGTGTCTGAGGCGCGTCTTGGTTACCCTGCCCTGATGCGATGCGACGACCAAGACACGTTGGCTGTGCTGTGAGAAGGATAGCCAACGAGCTGGCCGCCGAACCTGGTCCTCCTGCAGATGACTGTCTGGCGCTGTCGTCCTTCACTGCCTCGTGTCTTGAGCCTTGGCTGCGCTCACCTCCAATAAGCATAACGCAGAGGTCAACGAGAAACTGTCCACCAGCCGAACGCAAAAGGTGTTGAGCGCAAGCTACGGCGCTAGCACCACGTCCGTCGGGCTCCTATGCGGCGGGCATGTCTTGCTAGTCCCGGGGGACCGACCAACTGGCCGCTGCGGGGTTCAAGAAACCGCGGGCTACCAGGGGCGTGGTTGAGGAATGCCGAGTTTCTCCCCAACTTGCATTTTTGGCTGGATGGACGCTGAGAAGTGCATCACACCGACATTTGCTTTTCGCGGACGAGGCAGGTCATGTGGTGGTTTCTATCAACGTGCCTAAGCAGCCATTTGCCCGTGCAGCACGATGGTATGCAGCAATCAGTCGCTTGGCGATGAGAACGCGGCCCGATGGTCTTGACTCCAATGGATGAGCTAGCAAGCGCTGTCGTGCCCCAATCTCCAAGCCGTCGACAAGTCGGCAGATACATTGCTGCGCGATGCAGCCAACGCCAGCGTCATGTATGTCATTGCCTGCGTATGCCAAACGTGCGATAAGGATGAGACGAACGCGGGTTAGACCGGGTGTCAATGGCATAGTGTAAGC